GCAATTTGTAATAATATGCATTATGTAGCGGTATCATGCAGTTGGTTCTGACATCACTAAGCTTTGTAGCTGTTTGTAAAGCCAAAAACCAACTTGCCAGTTAAAAAAGATTCTCTTTTTTTTATTTTAACGTTAAGATAATAAAATTTGGCCCTGCGATGGACTGGCAACCTACCCAGGGTGTACCCCACCACTAGCCCACTGACAGCTGGAGATAGGCACCAGCATCCCACGCAAACTAAGCGTGACGCAAAAAGGATGGATAGTTGGATAATAAAATTCTCAGAAAATATATTGATCAGATCAACTAAAACTACAGCTTAATTTATTTAGTTCACTATTATTTATCTGCATTGATACAAAAAGATTTTTTTTTTTTTTGTTTTGGGTTTTTTTTTTTTNTTTTTTTTTTTTGCTACTTTTACAAAATACTATAACTTTGCCAGCTTTTCTTTTAAAACATTTTTGGACCCCAACTTTTTTGTTGTTGTTTTGCAAAAAGCAACTCAAAAATGAAAGCCATAAATGAGTCTGAATAATGCAGATAAACCAATATGCCTAATTCATTATGATTTATCCATACAGCTTTAAACTTTTTTGCTGTACTTCTTGTATTGTTCCACATAATCCAAATATTGATCAGTGTACAAAATGCTTTATATTCTATATTCACTGCCCCCTCTTTTTATTGTTACATTTAACACTTTGGTTTGCAGCCCTCAGCAATAAAAATTCCCTGAAGGAGAGCAATACTTTCCACCCAGCTTTCCTCCCACCGTTCATCTTACTTGTTCTTCCATTATTGGTTAATTAGCAGATTGCTTGTCCTCTTTTCACAGCAATTAACCACCTTCAAGCATTCAGAGCTACATCATTCAGTGCTTCGTCCCCTATATTACCTCCCCACAGCCCTTGAAACCAGCAGAAACGTGGGCCGGAACCAACATGGTGTAAATGATTTTGTATTTATGTGTTCTAATTATGCCTGTTTGTCGATGATAAATATGGCAAGGGCAACTGATTTAATATGCAAATTGTGAGTCAAGACAGAAGTACTGGAATGTGGGGGTTAATAGAAAGAAAATCAATTTTTTCCTATGCTAATTGAGGAGCTATATTGAAGGACCTTTCAGAAAGGGAGCAGCATGGATAAGGATCTGTGACAATTAGATGAAGGTCAGAATGATATAATGCATGCCAGTTTTTTTATTATAATTTTAGAATTATTATTTTTATTGATTAATAAAGGGAAATACTATTCTGTCTTCATGGTTTCTTGCAAACTATTGAAAATAGCAATCTAAAAGGATTTTAAAGAAGCTTTATATATATAGATTTTGATAGATAGAAATAGATTGATAAACACAGACTTGGTTGATGGGTAAAATAGCACACATTTTAAGCTTTTAAATGGCAATCAAATTTAAGGGCATTTTCTCTATGTTAGAGTAAAAGATATCAACAGCAAATCTTTACAATAAGTACAAATAAGAACCATTACATAGAAAAAAAATAAATAAAAAATCAGTCACTAAATCCCACCAGACACCTGATAAAAATTGTATCATTTATGGGATTTTTTTACCGTCAAGCAGGGTTATTTGGGCCCTTGTCACTGAGCAGCGGCTCTCACCACATCTTTAGGATTTAACTGACCCATCTCATACGAAACGGCCACCTCCAAAAATAATCTGTGCAGTCTCTTCACTACTAAAATATGCAGTTGTTTGGGCCGCCAGACCTGCAGCATACCGCCGGCAGGCAGCGCTGGAAATCCCCGTTGGGAGCTCTCTGCTGCGGCCAGTCTGTGGGGGATTTCTTGCTGCCGTTCGTAGCGGGTTTAAGTGAATATAAAAAGTTTTTAAGGTTGGTGGTAAAAACTGAAAGGACCAGATTATACAATTTAATATTTTTCATTGGCAGGTTTTAACATTTTTAGTTAATTTAAGTATTCATAAACTGTGTGGCCATAGTTTATTAAAAAAAAAAAAAAGTTTTAGTGCAGCAATAATGATCAAAGCTCTCTCTCTGTTCTTTGTACATAAAATTCCTTTCTTCTGGATTTTTCTTAACCTTTGGATTTTAACTCTCTTGATACTTATATTTTTTTGATATGCAGAATGTCTGCAGAAGCAATGACAGACTTACACAACTTTTATTGTCACTTTGTATACACAGAATTGCATACAAACCGAAATTTCGTTTTGTACAGCTTGCAGAACATTTCCATTCCTTAAAATGTAGCAGTAATCAAATGCAAAATTAATGCAAAAAAAACCCCGCATTGATATGGAAAATCAGAACATTAAATATGTATGGTGCAAATACATTAATTTATAGACATTTAAAAAATGTCTATAAATTAATG